AATTCTCCACTGACAGAACAGGGGTTTGATATTCTGCGTTCTAGCCTTCCGAATTGCTGGAAGGAATGAATCCTTGAACATAGCCGTTGATATAAGTGTTAGTTAGGAGCCAGACTTGACAACACGAGACGTTTCATGGGTTGGTTTCAAATCACTGGGTTTACCTCTTGGCCGACGGGTCGCACCATTGGATGAGCGTCTTTAATTTGATCCTCCTGCCATTCCAATAGCCCATCTGAAGCCAAAAAAACCTGTTTTTGATGCCACCGAAATACTTCCCTACTCCCATTCACGGCTCTGCATAACTAGTGGCATGGCAATCGTTTCAGAGCAAAAAATCACTACCGAATGCGAAATTTTAACGAAAATTTGCCGCAATGCAGAAGTTACCGTAACCAGCACAATCAGCGCACACTCCTATGCGCTGATTGGCTGACTGTTCAGCGAGTGAATAAGAAGAAGAGGCGGAGTCTACTGTGGAGACCACCAACGCAGAATTTTTGAGTACGGTAGAAATGAAATTCTCAATGAGATGTTTTAAACCGATGGACGGGAATTTCGATTTGAGATTTTCTCGTTACTCTGGGTCTGTCAAATAGACTGTTATCGAATTTTTTGAAATTGTCCCATAATGAAGCAATTAAGGGATGATTATTTGATTCATAGGAGTGATAATATGTTCTTCTTTAACAGCGACCGATATTTGAATGTTGCTCAAACAATTTTTAAACTAATACTCGCAATTGAGCCTTTTATAAGTTCAATTTGTCGTTTCCTTCCCACTCCTTTACACCATCTTTACCGCAGTATTTAGAATTTATCAAAGGCATTTTCTAGAATGCATTTAGTCTGATCATTTGAAAATGAATCTTGTTCATTTCTACACAGCACCATCGGCTCGTTGAACAATGACAGTTCAAATTGCATTCATTTTGCTATGAGCTGAGAATTTTACGCACTAATTATTCAGTGCTTCATTGTGTCACGCTATGATCTACTCCCAACACTCTTACTGCCACAATTCCCATTGATTTTATGATGTCAGCTACTTTTATATCAACTACCTCGAGTATATGCATCACGCAGAACTCCGCATATGTTTGGTCCTGTGTCAGGGTGGAGGATTTGGGGAAGAGCAACTACTAAGAATCACCCCGTCAAATTATTTGTGTTTTTAGTCTTTTTGAATTGATGCTTCGATGCGCCTCATATCATATAATACCAGCACACTGGCAACTCCTTCACTTCGCGTACACCAGGCACATACATATACATACACACATGTAAACGTACGCATGAAAACATGAAACTGTTAGTAGGGGACCACGGACGAGGGGAGTTGGGACGGGTTGGTGGACCGTGTGAGTATGAAAAAACCGCACTGAATCAATACTGCTCTTCACAAAATAACTGTAGCGCAAAATGTTATTGAAACGCAAACGATCATTAGATAACACTACGAACAAGTGCTATTATCATTATCATAGCCGAATTGTACCCAGTGATAATGAATGCAGAATGCAAATAAGTGGTAACAAAGACAACTGATTACTGAAGAAACGTTTATTAGCTTTTGTTGAAATATCGAAATAATATAAATTTGATCAATAAGATGAGAAAAGATATGATAAACTGATTGATTGACTTATTGATAGGTGACGACAGGATGCGAGACAATGCGGAGAAACGACAGCAGGAATCGCAGAAAACGTGTGTTGAGTTCGATTGATGCAGTTTTTAGAGCGAAAATTTGAGAATTTCGATTTTCTTCATGATTTTCCATATGCTCACACAAATTAACGTATCGTAATGACTGGCAGTGGATGAATTTTTTGTTTCATTGGGAAATCAATAGAAATGAAATGAAGCGAAGAATAGAGAACAGAACAAAACCTAAGGAAATCAATGCAAATATAAAGAACTGAGTCGTAAAGAGTTTAGCAATCAATAATACAGTAGTCGTAGCAATGAAATGATTAAGTCCTAGAAATGAATTACCGTAAGACGATCAAGAACAGAAAAATAAATGAGAAAAACACACGACGACGAAATACGAACTGATATTGACATGAAATATTCAAGTAATATGCACAGCAATAGTGATCAAAAAAAGAAAAAACACACAATAAGGCAGTCGGTTCACGAACATCATAACATCAACATAAATTATCAAAACAACAACACGGTTGCTGGAGCATTCGAGTGAAAAGAGGAGGCAGTGTGCTGATATTTGACTTTGTTGCTTAATCTGTTTGGTTTTGGACAACTGATATAATAATGATAAGGCAAATGGGAGAAAAGAAAGAAAATTAGACAAATGCATGGAGATAATGATAGCGATAATAATAATAAGGATGTTGGTGATAATAATAATAAACTAACATTTAACCACATAGCACATTAAACTGGGTCACAAAGCCTCAAATTGCCAGAGATAATCTTTTAAGAGTGTACTATTAGTGTTCATTATTTCACCGCCGACTATTGGTGTACGTTTAGCAGATTAGGAGAAGGCAACGAAAATGATCNAATGGGAAGTGCACCGATGAGGCTAATGAAGATAATGTGATTAATTAATTGAAGATTGATTCATCACGGGGCAAGACAGAGAGGCGCACCGAGCAACAAACCAAAAAAAAGAAGAAAACACTAATAAACATAACACTTCAACTTCAAATTGAAATTTGTTCTAGGCGAAGAATTTAACGTTAAATTCTTCACTGATTTATTCCTCTCTTTTTCTCTTCAATTTTCGTCTCTAATCACATCACATTACATCAAAATGAAATGCTAATGTGAAGTGAACCAGCGCCCGAAAATCGATTCGTGTTGCCTGTTGTCGTTTTTGATGTTGTTGTTGTTGTTGTTATGAAGTTTCTTATGTTTATGATATTGTTTGTTCTTGGGGTGATTCTGGATCAGATCTCTATGATTGGTCACGCTATTGCTTTTGCTATGTGCGGAATCTAATTTGAAACGATGAAGATGCTTGCGCTTGCGTTTTGACGCGGCCACATTGAGCACAGTTCGCGTCTCTAACGGTCCCTCTTTGGTCTGCGCATGGCACTTGTAGATACCACCGTTATCTTCACGAACATTCACGAACAGTAGACGATTGGCTACCACCTGAAAATGACTCGATAATTTAGCTGGCTGATCTCATTGCTTAGGAATATCGGGATCTGGAGGGGGGAGGGAGGGGGGATTAACAAGATCAACGAATATACATTACACATAGATACGTACATACATACTCCATACTTCATACATTCATTCACCATCGCAATCATCANTGAATGAATACTGCAAAAATACCATGAATACATGATTATTCTGGAATGTTTGGATTATTTTGGAAATGAACAAATAACTAACTGCCGAGGCTTGCAAAGACTTCGTAATTATGTTTATGTATTTATTTAATTTATGCAGCAAGTAAGACTACTTGCTTTCGCACTCGACAGCTATTGCTGCAGGGGAATTTCGGTCCGAAACAAACATCCGGTGATTAGTAAACAGCGATCGATGATACTCTGTTAATGAGTTGGTCATGTTCATCGTATTTTCAGCAATATTCATTGAAATACGACGAATACATCAACAAAAGTGAGATCACACATGAAATCAATCAGTGAATTAATTGCTCAACTTCTTCAATTTGAGCAAATAACGAACAAATTCAAAATAAATACGTAAATGAGCAAAATGAAACTCATCAGAATGCACAAGAAACATCAAGTAAATAATAATGATTTGAGTGTGATAGTAGCAATGCTTGCCACTGATCTCATGCACATTCATCATCAAAAGTGCTTTTCAATAACAATAATTATATTGATGCAAATTCGTTCAAATCTATACAGAGACTCTTCGTTATTTATTAGTGTTTGCATACGTTAGGGCACTTCAGAAGTCAGCTCTAAAGAACTTGCATTCTTCAGGTCGAACTATTTTCGAATATGATGGAATGACTGACTGGCTTCAGAATGATTCTTTCTGATAATTTAAAACTAAAATTTTGAAGTGATCAAATGAACACATCGTGAACTAATAAATAACGAAGGAAGTATAGTTCGATCATTTTTGCTGAAAACTTACATGGCCGCATAATGGATCATGAATATGATATGTTTCATTCTGCAATAGGTGAATTTTGAAGAAATACGCGAAGGGAACCTTCGCTTAATCACTGTTGATCGCTTAGATTTAAGAAAATCGGAGTAAGGTACTCCAACGTTTCAGTTGGATATTCGACACTGCAGTGAGATACTTTGACGAAACAGAGTCGAAACATAAAGTTGAGCATATCATTCAAGCTCATAGTTTTTGAAAATGGTGTGGATTATTTTGGAATGTTACAGAGATTTTTGTGTAGCATGACTGAGATTCCAATTAATAATTCAGGGATTCACTAAAAAGATTTTTTTTTTCGATTTGCATACACTTGCAGTTGCATTCATTTTTGAATATAAATTCATTGCTGCAAAGTGAATGAAAGCCAAACACTGTTATGGTTGTATGAAACTAATGAGGCCTTAAATGAATAATTAGAAAACAACAATAGGTCTCACTTGAGCGTTATCGGGAAGTTCCTCATCCGCATCTCGTGTCCAAGTGATCTCAGCTTCTGGATCTCCAGTCACCTTACAGTCAAACCAGGCACGATCGCCGATTGCAACACTTTCTGATGATGCTTCTAACAGCACTTGAATTATTGTGTCAGGAACTGAAATTCAGCAATATTCACTATATATCGGCTGAATCGAACCATTGCTCCGTTACGGATCCACGCTGTCCAACCGATTAACTATCGATACAATTTGATCGTCGTGGTGTCTATGAACGACCGATCTGACCCGTTTCATCCATGAGTGTTCATGGACCACATTTGGAGCCTTCGTCGATCATTTTCAGGGTCTTCATAAGCTGTGTACAAGCCGTAATTTGCAAATCATTGGGCGTTACAGCCAAATAAATCTGTCGCGACTTTAAGAGCAAAAAAAGAATAAAAGATAGTTCGATGCAAAAGAATAAAAGACAGTTCGACGCGAAAAGAAACGAGGTGCATCAATGTGAAATTGCATCAGCACATACAAGTTTCAACGACGACACGTGCAGGTGCGGAGTGCATCGGATGACCCGGATGGAAGTCATCCGTTAAGCAGATATAAATGCCTTGATCGGACGCTTGTGCTTTCTCGATTGTGAGCACACCATTTTGATCGGTCGCGTTTTCGTTCAGTAATCCATCAAGACGTTCCCAGGTGAGCATTACGTGCGGATGACTTGGCATAGTGCAACGCAACTGTATGGTTTCGTTGACCTTAACCGTTTGCGAAACCGGCTCAACGATTGGAACTTGAGCTAGAAAGATGACAGAAGAAGTGATGATTATTCATTTGCATAGGAAAGTGCTTTGTAGCGTATGTGCTGAATGTGATTCGTGAGAGTTCGTGTGATTTAAAGCATCTGGGCTTTGGGCTTTAGGCTTGTGCTTTTTTTTGGCTGAAAGGCGCATGGGACTAGAAAGAATTGAGAACAGTATCCATAGATAATTGCGTTGACAGATCCTTCAATTTAAGTGCTACTTTACAGCATGGGCTATGTGTAATTGAAATTTCACCTGATTTAAACACAAGATTTGAGGATCAACGATGGAATCGCTCGAATGTTTTTCAAGGGAAATTAGTGAGTTCGGGAAAAAGTAATCGCATCAACCAGCATTGCTTCATTTAGGATTTTCATGGGATTCTTCTAGATAGCTGATCGACAAAAACTCATTTCGAACGAAACAACAGTGGAAAAGTGAAATGAGGGACGAATGAAACATATTCATCCACAATTTGATACAATGTCATTGTTGTGTGTATGTGTGCAGTGGCGATGCAGTGCAACGTTGATAGATGCGGAAAATTTTCACAATTGAAAAAAAGCAAAGCTGAAATTTGCTCACGAAGCACTCGAAGAATATTACAAATTGTGTGGAAAAACAAAATTTCTGAAAAAAGTGAAATGAAATGAAAAGCGAAAATCTGCAAGAAAAGACAAAAAAAAGGAAGCGAAAGCGATAGTTCTGAAGGTGTTAGACGATGAAATGAAGTTGAATGATTCATTACTTTACCATATAAGAAATACATTCAATTTTCAGTTGAAAATGTCTTCCGATGCTAAATTTGAGTGTGTGAAATGCTCAATTGCAATTGATGCACATTAAACTCACCATATATAAGTGCGTTGACAAATCCTTCAATTTGTTGTCCCTCGACAGAAACTTTGCACACATACGTTCCCGTTGCCGCATCATCGAATTCTTTGATTCTGAAGGAACACCAATTATCATTACGCCTTCATCTTTGCCCATATCAGCATTTTGCTTCGGAGAGGTACCCAAATAGTTTCACGTCTCCTGATTAGACGTCGGAGATCAATAACGATCAGTTAATTCATCAATACTAACATAAGTTTGTTCCTGGATGTTACGGCCATCTCTGGCAATTCTCCGTCTTGTTTCTCCCACGTTACCTCGGCACCTGGTAACGCATAAACTGGGCACGTTATTATAGCCTCTGATTTTTCGTCAAATTTCACTATTTGCGCATCTGAAGATAGACAATTCTCGTTTAGTTACGGATAATTTCGAAAATTCCATCAAGTTAGCAAATTTTCCGGAACCCATGTATAGATCATCGTATTGTATCACCTTCAATTAACAAATCACTGAAATGGGAATTCATCGCGGAAAGCGAGCAGATAATACTTAAGAAATGACATTGACAAATCAAATATGTTTCAACATATGATCATTCTTGATAAAAATGATTCAACTGCAGTTCTCCAGCCAATCCATTATCAACTGGAGTGAAGCCTTCTTGACACGTTATAGTGAAGCCTTCGTTCGCATTTTCACCTTATTATTTCAGTCAGTCAAAATGGATTAAGATCTGTGCCTCACCCGCTTTCTCTGATATTCACAAACTCGACAACAACAATTACACAGTCATATTTTTCAGACTCAGAATTAATCTAATTTACCTGAGTTTACCTGAAACATACTAGAACAGACCCACGTGATGAATCTAATCCATCTGGAAGATAGGCATTTAGAACAGAAGTTTCCACAAGATTGTATTGACTCCTGCAAAGCTTCCTGCCCCGCAATGAGGGTCTTATTCGATGGCTAGATCTCTGTGCATTCGTCGTGAATCACTGAACTCGATATAATGAAATGAAAGAACAAACTGTTTGGTGCGCCACTGGCGATGGTCAGCGCCGAATAAGCGGCGCCGAGCAATTGGCCATCATCGTCCTCAACCTCACAACGATAAATACCAAAATCATTCGATGAATCCGTTCGACTAATCGTGAATGAATCTTCACGAGACAGATCTCGTACGACGCTACCACCTCGTAGCAATGACCATTCAAAGTTAACACCGTTGTTATCACCGCCTGAAGTCGTGATTTCCTTTTGCGCTACTTAGTTTCGCTCCTACACTCTCGCTCATATCGTCTCTTTCGACAGAGTCTCAGCTCATGTTTCAGGAAGATTTTCAACAATCAGACAGCGCATCGTTAACAAACGCAGCAAATCCGATCAGTCAGTAATTCTGCAGATTGGCAAGCATATCAACAGTGATCACTCCTAATCATTCTGGTCAATAAATGTGGGATCGCTTCGGCACTACACAACCATGTCAGACGCGCAAAATGATCATCTAGATTACATTAGTTACAATAGCCAGTGTAGTATTCCCCGTTTCTTGGCAAGTTTCAAAACCAAATTAGGGTGCAGCTTATAGAACGGAATATATCACTAAAACAGCACGAAACACACAAAAGTGTTGTTGGTTATAAAAATAGCATAAACTGAAGATACCCACATATAATGCGCACGAGACTTAAACTGAAATGAGAACAACTCAACTGCAGTTTCAGCTGCGGACAATTGCGAAACACTTAAAAATAATATACACACAAATTGATGCCACCACAGAATACACAAATGTGATTAGTGCCCACGTGAAGTGTTATAATATTGAGTGAACAATTTAGAATCAATTAGGCGATAAAATTAAGTTACAATATCCCAGCAACATAATATGATACTCATTGATCAGACTAAAGTGTAGGAGCCTTAAAACTAGCCTTGATTTGAAGCTGTAAGCATTTAGAAGTGAAGAAATGAGAATTCGATTGAAATGAAATACACACTCATATAAATGATTCGAAATGATATGAAACTTAATGGCAAATGAAAAGGCAGCATCAGTATCCACCAAAAAGCACTGAAGCACTGCAAAATAATACAATGAGATGAAGGCAACGACATAGATGCAAATGATATTTTTGAATGTTTAGTGCATTAGTGATATTACTTGATAAATGACGGTATTTACTTCTGCGCTTTCTCGGCCACTGCTTTCCTCTCTGTAGGCATCGCTTAAGTGTCCACAGAAAACAACCACGACTGAGAGGTTACAAACCTCAGATAACCTCTGCTACCCACTCATCAGTAGAATTTTTGCGACCATGAGCAGCAACTGATCCATTAGTGATTTGTTAATCAGTGATACGAACACAATGATCACCATACACTTACACATAAGAACGAAAAAACGAATAGCAACAACACGAACATCGTTGTGTCAATCGAAAATTCCATGTGACTTTTTGGGTTTGCACAAAATCGCCAGTTCAATGAAACAACGACGACACAGTGTTGTTGACAACAATTGTTAATTGAGAACTAAAAAGCCATAAAAGAAAAGAGCACATCACCGCTCATAGCACGTGGACGAACAATCACATGTGCTGGACGACTATAGAATTTGTCGCCCGACCTAGTCTCCATCATGACCCAGTACGGGCCACTATATGCGGGATCAACGCTTTGCAGGTGCAACATGTCGCCATAACCGGCGGTTTGCGGTGCTTGATGAAGTCTGTCTCTGGCTTGTAACCAGATCAGACGATACGGTTCATCAAGTTCTTCTGAAATGGCTAACTGACACTTCAAGAAACTTAAAAACACGAAAACAATCTGAAAATAGAAGAATGCACATCAAAACGAGAACTTAGGGAGCACTTACACCACACATAAAATGATTAATAATATAGTAAACTGATAACAATAACAAACACACTGATTAATTTGTTGTGGAAATGAAAAGTGATAATGAAAAGAAAAGAAAATTTCCTATAACCCAAGAAACCAAAAGCTTTCTTGTGAAGCTGA